AAAAAAAAATTTCCGGTTGGCATTATGAAAGAATCTTAACGTTTGCCCAACGTTTTCAATATTTGCCAATATTAATAATAAAGATTTTATAACATTCCCCCACATATTGACCAAATAGTTGGAAAGAAATATGAAGAGAGTGAAATGAAATAGGTCTTTGACCAAATAGTTCAAACACTAACAGAAACAGAGCAACTTTGTTATTCTGGGTTCTCCTTAGGAGGTAATGACATCAGGCTGGTTGATAGCAATGCTTAACTATCGAACCAGTCTAAGTCTTGATTTAAAACTGAAACACACAATGTAGTGGTATAGCAAGACAAGCTATATGAACCATAGACATTTGACGGTTGTGTTAGAGGTTTTATTATCATTCACCCAATAACACCCCCACAATCCTTGCTGTTAGCGCTTGTGTTTGTGGGTTTTGTTGTGTTGCCGCTTACTAGGCCACCACATGCGCTTCCTGCCCGGTTATTCATGATTGGAGTGCCTAGAGATCATGCCAAAAGATCTCATGCAAGCGGCCCCACTTGACACTCATATAGGTGATTTCATCAAGTGTATGCTGCAAATCATACACCACCCGTAAGGGATAGGTAAGGGGATATTGAAAAAAATCATTATATAAAAAACTTTGGTTAAGCTAAAATTCTTTCACCATATAGAATTTTAAACAGAATTTTAACGGGGACAAAGTTTAACCTCTCATAATGCAAAAGAGTCTCTTCTAGCACTTTCACATAAACAACATCATCAACATAGGAACCAATAGGGAAGGGACATAATTGATTAAATTAAAAATCAATTTATTTAGTGCTACAGAACTAACAAGTGCTTGTTTGTATAACATAGTGCACCTTTATTCATGGGGGATCTCCAATCACAAAGGTTGGGTTACCATCACTTGTTTGTTTGCAAGTGGCTTAATTTTTTTTCATTAAGTCCCATTCTCCCCCTCGATGTTTTCTTAATTAATTATCACTTGTCCCCTTCCCATGGGTTTTGTCAGAGGATATGCCTAGATTACGTTCTGACCTTCACATAGTCATGGAAATAGTTCCAATCTTTTTAGCAGCTTTTTGCTGCTTCACCCAAAATTGGTCGCAATGAATATGTCTATTCTTTCCATTGTATGTTAATTTTTGTTTTTAGCTATTTTTTTTAGCTATGCGATTGCCGATTGGCAATCACGGGTTGTTTGTTTGTATTACCACAGATGGGGTTGGTGTAATTCCTAGTGGAAAATGTTTTTTTGCTAAGAAGTTTTTCAACCACTCAGCCTCACTACCAGCATCTCAAGAGCGACAAACGCAGATTTCAATTGTGATCTTTGCAATAATAAGTGTTTGTAATGGCTGATCTCCATGTGTAATCGTCCACCCACAAGAGTGAATACATAACCACTAGTGGATGTTGTCTCTCTGAATCAGAGATAGTAGCATTCCTGTTACCCTTCTAGTACAGCGGGAAAATCCTATATTCATGGCATGCATAATCCATTGACCTCTTAAGTAGTCTCTAAGCATAGCAATGCCATCCCAATGGTCCTGATTTGGACATTGAGTGTACCTACTTAGTCTACCTACTGCAATAAGCAATGTCAGGTCTAGAGAAAACGCTCATCCATTTACAAGGGCAGTAAGTAAGTCCCAATTTCCAAGTATCTGGGCATATGAGGATTGAGATATGATTCTCCTCTTCTTATTTTCATTAATTTAGAGTTGTTGAAGCATCTAAGGGGGGGAGGGTTAGGTAGGTATAGGTAGGTGTTTAGGTTACTCCCTGGTTTTAGTCATTTGTTTAAAATCCAAATTCTTAAGAAGGAAAAGAAGGTTCTAAATGTATTGTTCTTGAGATAGTAATATACTATCTCTCTTCCTTATGATTCTAATACCTAAAATCACATTGGCTTCACCCATGTCTTTCATTTCAAATTTTGATCCTAGAAACAATTTAGTTCTAGTGACAATCTATCGCATTTTTAACCAAAAAGATAACATCTGTCATCAAGTTTTTTTCATGCCATTTGTTTTGGTTGCTTGTTTCAACCCATATAAGGATTTTAAGAGGTTGCCATACCTTTATCCTTCTTGGACCAGGGTTACAAATACAACACACCCTTTCAGGTTGAGTCATATAAGTTCCTCCTCTTTAAATCACCATCAAATCTTCAAAAAAGGCGTTTTGTTTGTCTTGTGTTGTTTGTTTTTGTTGTAACATCCATCTGATTTTGATAGTATCACTAGTTATGGATAGCAGCTAAGGCTTAAACAACACTCGAATAGAGGAAATCCTAGTCACTGGAGCACAAAAAAAGTATCAAGTAATCATATGTTGGGTTTTTGAAGGTGTGGGTAAAACCTTTTTGCTACTTATCTTGCCTAATTTCTCTATGGATCCACAGGGGGGTTATACTTTTCTTAAAGATCACTTAACAACCAATGGGTTTGCTCTTTAGGGCAAATCTACTAAAGGTCCAGTATTATGTTTCCCTGAATGATTCAATTTCAGTCCCTAATGGCCTGTATTCCCACTGTTTGGATAAGGAGCACTAGTAGCTTATATAAAAGCGGATTGGATCATTATCAACAAGATAAGTATATAATATTAAAAGGATGCTCCAAAGGAAGGGCCTTTACTCTGCCTGTGCTTCTCCGCAAAGCCCGCATGGGCGAGGAGGACGAGAGCAGGAGCAGCAAAAGAGGTAGGGAGACAGCGCACGAACAGGGAATTTAAGGGAACACGTTTGTGGTGTTCAAAAAATCAGCATTTTCGTCTCCTTATGAGAATTTGCTCTCAAGTTATGTTACTGTTTAACACTAGAAGAAACATATAGCAGCACGATGTTCAGCATAACCTAGAACATACATCAGAGGTAGAGGTTTTTTAGATCAATTTTCCTTTTCGAGGACAGGGGTAACATCACTTAGCCTAAGCACCCCACACCTTAAAGATTTAAGGTTAGTGGTTTGGTTTGAGTAACCTTTCCACAACTCATAAGAAGGAGGTTTACGGTTTTTTTTTTCTTATGGGCGGTTTCTATTTTGTATAAAAAACAGTGCAGTAAGCAAAAAGCTTCGCCCAAAGGTTATCAGGTTTGCACCGACAGAACTAACAAGCATAGCATTCATCATTTCCTTAAGGGTTCTATTTTCCTCTCAGCTGACTCCATTCATTAGACTCAGGTTGAATATGGTGGGGGGGTCACTTCAGGGATAATTCCTTATTCTTTCTTTTTTTAAACAAAATTAGTCATTAAAAGGTACATACTCACCACCTCTATCTGATCTAATCCTTTTATTGTTTATTCAACTGATTTTTATTACTTTCTGCCCTTATAGGTTAAATACATCAAAGGCTTCATCTTCTGTTGATTAAGTAAACTTTGGTTTATATCTTAGATAATCTATATAAAGAATCAAAAAATTAAATTTTTTACATCCGCTTAGGACCTTTTAGACATGTTGGTTTCATATCAGCTTTAGATAAAGATAAGTGTTATGGATGTTGGAAAAGCTGACACAAAAAGTATTTCCTGAGGCGTGTAGAGTCACTGTCCTTAAGGACTTATCCGCGGTGTGTTGCGCAAGTCCCCCAGGATACAACAGGAACTTCTCAGAATGTCTGAGGATCTCAGAACTAGCAAGGAACTCTAAAGAGAGTATAAGGATAACCCAGAATATTTTTAGAAGAGAGAAAAAGCTAAAGAATGAAATTCAGAAAAGAGAAGAATGAGAAGATTGAATTTGGTGTGTCTTGGAATGGAGGAGGAACTCCCTATTTATAGAGCTGGAGAGAATCAATTAATTAAAAGAAATTAAAATGAAATTAAAACATTTAAATGTTACCGTTGCACCAATTAAGTTTTTGAACGTTGCTATTAAAAAAAAAAATTTCCGTTGGCAATTATGAAAGAATCTTAACGTTGCCAACGTTTTCATATTTTGCAATATAATAATAATATATTATAACACCAACGCACTTGCTTGGGCAACAAAGAAAGTGGTCCCAGAGGCAATGAGTAAACTATAGGGAAAGATGGTAAGGCCAAGGTAAATCATATGAACAAGACTTTTAACATCTCTCACGTCCTTCACAGTGCAAATCTTCTTTCTCTTTTCTTGCGTCTCAAGACTCTCTGTACGATGTCTTGAATCTTCTTCTTCTTCTTCTTCTGCTTTAACAATGGCCGCTTTGTCCAACCACCTGAATAACCGAGGAACTTGTGGCAATAACCTTACTCCTTCACCACGATTATACGTGTGTTGCTTCTTGTAGCCCTTCCAGTAATAAGAATTCGATGAGGTTGGATATTTTGAACTCAGTTTTCCAAAAGCTGTGCTGAAGATTCTATGGATCTTGCCTAGATCGCTTTCAACGGGTAATTCTTGGCGGCTATACCCCAAAGAACCGATGAGGAACAACAGATGAGTCGCTCCCATGAGAAGTGCAGAAAATCTAAATAGGTCCGCGTATGTTGCATCATAGAAGATGAAGACAAGACAAACTGTTATGATATATCCAACCACCAGTGGAACGAACAACCAGATACTAATATAAATTGTATGGCCGAGGCTTCTCTTATTTCTGTCTTGTGTGCTTCCATCTTTTTCGCCTTGTTTCTTTGGTTTAATTTTCTCTTCCAACTGATACTCAAGGAAACTTTCTGAAAGCTTTTGACCACTTTTTCCCATTCCAAGGAAGACTATGGCGGCATACACCGCACCAAACGCTGAAGGGTCAGGTGATGTAGATGTCCATAATAGCATTAAACCCTGACAGTTAGTTAGACACCTTATATATCAACCATCGTATTTACAACCCTTAGTTCTGTTTTCCTATCACATAATTTATCATACTTATATTTATATGGGAAAGAAAAATGAACATTATAATTGTTAAATTTTATACCAATTTTTAGAAGTTAAAAGAAGAAAATTTTGAAAATAAAGATATACGGTGTAAATGCATATAAGTAATTTATAAATTTAGAAATTGTAACTACAAGTTTAGATAATTATATAATTTAGAATTAACTATAAGAATGTAGAAGTGGTGGATCAAGCCTATAAATAGGCAATAACATAGAGGAAAAATCAATATAAAGTTCTACAAATTCCGTATCTAAAGCTAGTTTTGACAACCTAAAATAGATATTATAGATTACTCAAATGGAAAAGATATAGTGAACTTAAATGGGCTTCCAAAACAAAGCTCAATTCTAATGGTATTATATAAAAGAATAATGCAAAAGAATATTAGCAACATCCTAATGAAATATTTTCCCCAGTTGCTCACCTAGGTATAGTTAGAGTTTTATTATTTATTGCAACAGCCTTTCTAAATGGCGTTATTAAAGCATAAATATACATGGAGCAACCATATATATTTGTAAGCAAAGGAATTGAAACTAAAGTACAAATTATAAGAAAATCTATATGATTTGAAGTAAGTCCCACAAGCATGGTATAAATGAACTGAGTAATTCTCTATTGAAGTATTTAGGAGAAGCAAAAGTGATTCTCACGATAAATAAAGACCCTACGATTATTATCTTACCTTAATTATGTTGATGATCTTATAAATAATATAAAGATGACGATGGAACTAAAAGAAGACATGATGAAAATATTTGAGACGAACAATCTTGACTTTCTGAATTACTTCCTTTTTGGTATAATGGTAAGACATGAAAAGCAATGAATATTTATTTCTCAAAGAAAGTACTGAGACTTAACTAAAGAATTTTAAGATATTTTCAAAAAGACAAAAAAGAGTTTGGTATATGATACCAAACTATGACAAATTAAAGATTGGTTAGCTACACTAATAGTGATTGGATAACAATAATAGATGACAAAGATTACCTCGGGTTATGCCTTTGCACTAAGATTGAGAACTTTTTTTCTTGGCAAAAAAAAAATCAACAATAGCACACGGATCAAAGTACATGAAAGCTAGAAAATCTACAAGTCTTACAATATAACTTCGAAGAATAGTTGACAAAAATGATAGAAACAACAACAAATTAGCTATATATAATGGAAAAAGAATAATGTCAGTCATTCAAAGACAAAGCACACGGTGTTTAAATATAACTTATCATAAGAAAATCGCATACGGACATAATCCGTCAGTAATAATTAAAATTTATGGACAATTCAAATTTATGGACGAATTAATAACAGCTAAAATTGGTAAATAAAATAGTCGTGAATAACTTTTACCGATAACTTATGAAAACTATTGATAATCCCGATTATCACAAATTTATCCATAAATATTCACTAGTAATTCTAAAGATTCAAGAAAATTAAATTATCTAAACTATAAATTAAAATTAATATAAATTGATCCAGGTTGGAGCCATCTCCAAAACTATCTTCTTATATATTTAATATACTGTTACTCGCCCTACTAAACTTCTTTCCTCATTCTAACAATAATACAGATCTAAGAATTTATACCTCGATGGAAGCTGCAGCGCAAAATGTGATCATAGTGAAAGAACCTGTATATGTTTGCGATATCAGAGAAACAACAACAAAAAAGAGAGATGATAAAGCATCTTGCAGATTTGTGACAATAGCAGCTATCCGTTGATTCTGCACTTCAAGTGCATTGGTGAGATAATCCATCATTATTGCCAACACCGCGATCTCCATAAATGTGTAACTTACAACCAATACTGAAAATAAATTAGGAAGAAAGAGTTAAGTTGAATTCTACTTCCCATAAACAAAACAGCGCAATTAGTTATAATTACCAGCAATGAAAGTAAGGGCCTCATCGCGGAGGATTACATAACGAATTCGAGCTTTTACTGACAAAAATTTCTTCACAAAAGCAGACGAGTTTTCTTGCCGCACCATGATGATGTTTGATAAAAAGCAAAACGCTCAGTTAAACCAATTTAATTACGGAAGCATAGAATTCGATGCGAACTTCTGCAAACGGCGTTGGGGAGTAAGGGAAGAAGCAAAAGCACTTCTGAAAAGTTCTTCTCTTCTTTGAAACAACAAGGGAAGTTAATCGAAGAAGGCTTTTGGATGGTTTTGGTGACTTTTGGTTCGACAAAAGGATTGTATTTATAGTACTAAGAAGACTCAAACAGTAAGTCAACTTTTTTATATACACGACTATTTGCTTAGTTAAACAATGTGCAACAAGCATTATTGTAACTTTAAGCATAGCAAGTGTGGTATAAAAAAAGCTCGATAAGCACTTCTTTTCAAACTATATGTCCACACGATAAGAATCTTAACCTAATATATTTGAAAAGTCGTGTTACAGAGTAAATGCAATGGATTTTATTTATTACAAAAGAAAATGTTATAAGGATAAAAAAAATATAAAATAGTTAGTGATTTTAACATTTTTGTGTAACTAGTTTTAAAAGCAAGTTGTTTATGTAGCTATGACGCCAAAAACAAGTTATGTTTATTATATACGTCGAACGATATATATTTTAAAATTAAACACTAGATTGGTATTATTAAAAAACACAAAAAAATTGTATTACAAAAAATAGAAAAACAGACGGGGGCTTCAAATATGATATTTTTACATTTTAAAAGTGAATTTTGACTTCGAAAATTACTTCCTAAGTTATAGGAAGATTATGTCTGCATTAGTTGTAGGAATAACATAATGAAATGGGTGACGATATAATGGGTTTAGATAAATCGCAATGAAACTTTTTATCTATTATATATTTATGTGTGTTTTACAATGCAATGGAAGTATAAGTTCACTTCAATGCTTCAAAACAATTATAGTGGTGATTTGGGATTTTTCTGATTTGGTGAATTCAGTGTTGGATTTTTGTTCAATGGTGGTTATTGGTGGCTTAAGGGTTTATGCGATCAAGATTCCGATAGAGGATAGTGGTGGTTGTTGGTTTATTTTCTGAACAGCTCGGAGTCGCCAAGAAGACGATGGTTCTGTGATTGCGAAAAATGGCACCATTAGGATTCAATGGTTGTGCAAGATTACAGCGTTTGTAGTGAATCCGTGGTAGAGGTGCGAGGAGTTGGATTTAGGATTCCCTGCTGTCATGATTTGCCTCTCTGGTTTCTCTACAAATCTGCTATTGGATTTTAAGACAAAATTGACATCAATATATATATATTTGGAGCAAAAAGAAATGAAATTCTATGTTCAAAATATTCCGCAATTTACGAAGAAACTTGGCGTTAGTTTGTACAATTCTATTCATTCGAGTCGTGGCAGGTAAGTATAGGTAAAATCATTCAATTCATAGTTTTTTCAATTTTATATCATAACAATTGTTTCATTTTGTCACATGAAACAATGTCTAAAATACAAGGTATAAGTGCTCAATTTAAAAATCCACACTTTCTATCTCATGATGGATACATGAAGTTTGAGCAAAAAATAACCAAGCAGAAGTTAGATAGTAAGCTTCCAATTTCTGAGCGTGGTGATCCTCCTCCTCCTTTACCATCATCTTGGCACGAGAAGTGGAAGTTAGTCCATCTAAGATCATCAGACTCCTACACTTCCGACAGTGCCAGAGACATATAAGAAAGAATTGTAAGATGTCATTTCTCTTATTTTGACAACAATTTTGTTATATATATTACATAGATCTTTCAAATAATTTTCAAGTTTTGTTATGTTACAAGACTCCTTGGTTAAGTAGTGCTCCCAAGGCCAATTCACACAGAAAGGTCGTCAGGATATTCTTACCACTGCTATTGGACGACCTGAGCACCCAAGACGAGTGTGTGTTGCTGGAACTGGCATAGGCAGTAGACAGTTCGTTAGGTCTTTCTCGCGTCCATCTTCATACGAATTAAGTAAAGAGTATGAACAAAGCCTGAAGCAGAACATCACAAAGGAGATCAAGCAGGATATCATATAGAAGGTCAGGACATAGTTGTATGATAAAATCGTTGAAATGGTTATGCACCAATTCCAACAGTTTTAGAGTTATGACATGTGTCTGCAGCCATCTCTTGTAGCGGAACATGTTGGGCCTCCTATAAGTAAACTTAATAATCATTTTTGTTTGTTAATTTACTTTTTGTATAAACTAACATTTAATTTGATAGGTAGAAGCGACAAAGGAAGCTGCTCAACTATCGGTGCCCTAGGGGACGACATGGACGACACTCGTCCATGTCAGCTATATATTCTACATCCTACCGGGACCATGCTAGTGGCTCGTGGCATAGTCTATGAGGTAGCCATTATAGTGCATGGTATGAAGCTAGGAGAGTATGAAGTCAAGGCACTAGTACAGTTAGGGGAAATGACAGCGGTTATTTTCGCTGATAGGCACCGGTTCCTGAACCGAGGCATATTCAGGCGAGGTAAAAAGCGGTAGACTTTATGCCTCGGTTTTGAAATGAGACATATAATGGTACGATTAGACCTCAGTTATTGTAACCGAAATTGTTTCACTCCCTCTACTGCCTCGGTTGGAGCCTGAACCGAGGCAGTAGGGTCCTTTTTTTATTTTTTTTTTCTTCTTTGGAAGCCACTCGTATAATTTTGGTGCCTCGGTCTCTGCTCAAGCTTCTTTTATGTCTCCGCTCAAGCTTCTTGACAATCAAATTTAACAAACAAACCAGACCAAACACGCTTGAATCACGCTTCAATGGCAGACCAAACAAATTTTTTAGTACAAAGGATCCTTCTCAGATTCAATTCAACAAATTTCAACGTAGCAAGGAGGCCGGCTGAGAATGCCAAGTCGGTCATCCACACTCAGTCAGAGTCCAATTTCCTAGTGGAAGAAAGCCAAAAGGGAAGTTCTGCGTCCTCACCTTTCAATCGAGCAACTGCGTTTCTTCGTCTTAGGCCTCCTACAAAGATGTATTTCCTTTCAAAGTCAAAGAATTGAGGGGATTCTCGCCGGATGGAACAAGGCTCTTCGAACCATATACTGCTTTTGCTGGAATGAAACGAACGAAGCCTTGGAACATCATTCTTCTGCTTGCTGGGCCCGGATGGCGGAACTTGCATTTTTTGAGAGAAGAAAGCGGCCCCCCTTTTGCGGCAAAGCTTCTGGATTTCGCCTCCGCGCCCTCCGCATCCGCCTCCGCCACAAGGCCCCCATCCCCGCGCTGTTCTTCTCCGTTACAGAGCCTCCATTAGGGTAAATTACCTCTGCGCAAAGCTTCTGGATTTCGCCTCCGCGCCCTCCGCATCCGAATCCGCCACAAGGCCCCCATCCCCGCGCTGTTCTTCTCCGTTACAGAGCCTCCGTTAGGGTAAATTACCTCTGTGCAAAGCTTCTGGATTTCGCCTCCACGCCTTCCGCATCCGCCTCCGCCACAAGGGCCCCATCCCCGCGCTGTTCTTCTCCGTTACAGAGCCTCAATCCCAGCATTCTCATCATCGTCTCTTCCTCCTCCACCACCTCAGTCGTTGCTGCCTCCGTCGCTTCTCCTCCTCCTCCGCCGCGCCCTCCGCATCCTCCACCGCCATGCCGATATTCTCCTCCAGCCGCCGCATCTCATCGGAGATTGTCCACCACCGCCGTCGCTGCCTCAGTCATCGACACGCTGCCGCTATTCACGTTCTCCTCTGTCACGCGCTGCTCTTCCTCCGCCGCCGCCGACTGCGCGATATGCCTCTCCTTCCTCTTCATCGCGTGCTCTTTACGGAAACGGTGGCAGAATTGGGGCTGGCAGTGGTGTGGTTTAGTTGTGGGAGGTTCGTGGGGGTAAGGAAGAAGCTGCAATGGAATGGAGGGAGAGAAGAAATGAGTAATGGAATCAGAAATTAGAAGTAGGGTTTGGATACTATTACCTCGGGTAGATCTCTGACCGAGGCATAAACACCTTCTCGCAGGTACCAATGTGATTTGACAGACTTGTGACAGACTTTTAGGCCTCGGTTCTGTGTAGAACCGAAGCACTATATCACTATCAGATCCAAAATGACTTTTTTGACATAGTATTAGGCATTGGTTATACTTTGGTCCGAGGTAATATGCACTACAGGCTTCGGTTCTGCAAAAATCAGGTCATATAAGTTCGTCTAAACTACCATATTGCCACCGCTTTTGAATATGTTTCGGTTTTGCTTTAACCGAGGTCTATTAGGCGATTTAAAAAGCCAATATTTTACTAGTGAGGTCACGGTTGATGAAGTTGTCGTATCAAATGCGTTTGTTCCTTTGCCTACAAAAGAGTTTGACACTGTGGCACAGGCATTTAAGTGCTTCACTGCTTGGCCTAGACATTTGGTTAGTGTTGTATCTGACCGCCCAGTAAAGACTCCTACTATATACTTCTCAATTTTAAACTTTACTTTTTATTGACGTCAAAACATAACCATCTTTTCATCTAACAACATACAGAAAAAGAGGGAAGTCCTACACCGAAGAAGACTCATTTATCTGAGGATGACCCTCTTGGTGCGTTAGAGGAGCTTTATAACATCATTACAGATGCGTCGATGATTGTACCATTGGATTCTATTACATTTGGAAGACACTATGAGAGCTCATTGTACTTGCATCAGCAAGATATTAAGGAGATTGCGTCTGGGAGAGAAGAGATCAATATTTCACTCGTTCTGTTGTGGATGATGTAAGTTTATGACAACTTTTTTTATATAAAATTGATTTATCAAGTTACTTATATTAGATCATTTCTTGATTTCAGGTATATGTTTGGTGTAAGTAACAAGATGGGGTTCAATGATGTGTATGGGTTCATTGACCCCCAAATGACTCACGAAGGAAATAAATTTGATGACATCCAAGAATATGTCATCAGTTGTTTTGCAATGGGGAAGGAGCTATATTTTCTCCCTTATATACTAGGGTAAATGAAAGTCCGTTAACTTTAAAGTTTCATTTATGATTTTAGTATATAACAATTAAGTTATTACAAATTTCAGGCGTCATTGGTAGCTACTTGTGATCTCCATACCGGAGAACACTGTTCTATGGTTTTGTTCAAGTTTCCTCCTAACCCTTTTAGACAAGTAATAGATTGGTAAGAAACTCAATGTTTGAACTTTCTTTATTATATAAATGTATGTTAAAGCAATTTTTTTTAATTGTTTCCTTGCAGC